ACCCCTGGCCTCTTGCACTGCTGAACCCTCTCTACAAACAAGCCTTACAAAACCAGCTGACTCAGTATGACAAGGCACGAGGTGGGACACCATTGCTTTCATTGCCAATCGGCTGCCCTGCAGCTGGAGTGTCACCTAGGCTGGGAGCAGAGGAAAAGAATGAGAAACATGAGAAGCTCAAAGAATTTTAGCCAGCCATCATGGTTTTCCATCATTTCCCAACATGTTTTCAAACAGGTCTTGTCCAAACCTCTTCTATTTTAGTACTGGACCACCACTGGTTTAATTCTTTGGTGCCATGTTTGACATGGTGTTGAATGGTTTTGCTATGTTTTGATACCACTGGCCCCTGGCACTGCTGAACCCATCTGAACCCTCCCCACAACAAAACTATACAAAACCAACCGATGAGAAACATGAGAAGTTCAAAGAATTTTAGCCACCCATCATGGTTTCCATCATTTCCCATCATGTTTTCAAACAGGTCTTGTCCAAACCTCTTCTATTTTAGTACTGGACCACCCCTGGTTTAATTCTTTGGTGCCATGTTTGACATGGTTTTGAAATGTTTTGAATGGTTTTTGCTATGTTTTGATACCCCTGGCCTCTGGCACTGCTGAACCCTCTCTACAACAAAGCCATACAAAACCAGCTGACTCAGTATGACAAGGCACGAGGTGGGACACTATTGCTCTCATTGCCAATCGGTTGCCCTGCAGCTGGAGTGACACCTAGGCTGGGAGCAGGGGAAAAGAATGAGAAACATGAGAAGTTCAAAGAATTTTAGCCACCCATCATGGTTTTCCATCATTTCCCATCATGTTTTCAAACAGGTCTTGTCCAAACCTCTTCTATTTTAGTACTGGACCACCCCCGGTTTAATTCTTTGGTGCCATGTTTGACATGGTTTTGAATGGTTTTGCTATGTTTTGATACCCCTGGCCCCTGGCACTGCTGAACCCATCTGAACCCTCCCCACAACAAAACCATTCAAAACCAGCTGATGAACCTTACCCACCCATCATGGTTTCCCATCATTTTCTAATATAATGTTTTCAAACAGGTCTTGCCCAAACCTCTTCTATTTTAGTGCTGGACCACCCCTGGTTTAATTCTTTGGTGCCATGTTTGATATGGTTTTGAAATGTTTTGAATGGTTTTGCTATGTTTTGATACCCCTGGCCTCTGGCACTGCTGAACCCTCTCTACAACAAAGCCATACAAAACCAGCTGACTCAGTATGACAAGGCACGAGGTGGGACACCATTGCTCTCATTGCCAATCGGTTGCCCTGCAACTGGAGTGTCACCTAGGCTGGGAGCAGGGGAAAAGAATGAGAAACATGAGAAGTTCAAAGAATTCTAGCCACCCATCATGGTTTTCCATCATTTTCCATCATGTTTTCAAACAGGTCTTGTCCGAACCTCTTCTATTTTAGTACTGGACCACCCCTGGTTTAATTCTCGAGGGGTCGCCAAAAAAAACCTCCAACACAAAACTTTTCCGTTGGGAGTTTTTTCTCAGCCTGTTTTGTGGCTATGTAAGTCCAATGTTGGGCAACTTAGGGTCTCACATGGGCTGATGTCAGGGAACTTTGGGTCTAACTCGGGTGGCCGTGGCCGGGTGGCCGTGGCTGTGGCCGGGGCGATGGGGCGGATGGCCGGGTGGCCGGATGGCCGGGTGGCCGGATGGCCGGATGGCCGGGTGGCCGGATGGCCGCCTGGCTGGGTGGGCAGGTGGGCAGGTGGGCGGGTGGGCGGGTGTGGCCGGGTGTGGCCGGGTGGCCGTGGCCGTGGCCGGATGGCTGGTTGGCTGGTTGGCCGGGATTTGTGGGTGGGTGGCGGTGGGGGGGAGGAGCGTTTTTAGAAGATGATTGTAATTTGCTTACTGCTGATTTCAAACAATATCAAGCAGCGTTTTGCTGTCCCGTATGTGGCGCAAGATTGCTTGAACAAATTTACCATATATGTCTCAACCAGAAACATCGATTTGTGTGCTAATTCCTACCCACATGTATAAACTCATTCCCCTTTAAGGCAACACGATCACTCCATGCAGTTCAGCAGTTCAGTTCTTGCCTCTTTTGTCAAAGCTCTATTTGACAATCGCCTTCATTATCACATGGAATAGCCACAGGAAGCCAGCAGCAGTAGCATTTCTTTCACGGGAGGAGGAGATGGATGAAGTGAACAAAAGGTGTACACCAGCAAATGACGGCGAAGACAAGCACTTGACACGAGATGCATCATGGAATAGGAAACAACTTGTTAAACAAGGTGCCGGGCATCTGAGAGGCCCGCGATTGTCGTCACTTTTCAAACATTTTCTAGGGGGGAATTGAAAAGGCTCAAAAACGAAACTTTAGTATCATCAGCAATATGAACATCATCATCATCATCACCACCATCATCATACGGTGAGAACATACAGCAGCGTAGAATGACGCATGTGTAGAAGTGCGAGAGGCAAGAGCACCTACAGCGTAGCATGACGTATGTGTGGAAGTGCAAGAGTACCTACAGCGTAGCATGACGTATGTGTGGAAGTGCAACAGAACCTACAGCGTAGCATGACGCATGTGTAGAAGTGCGAGACTACCTACAGCGTAGCCTGACACATGTGTGGAAGTACAAAAAACCCTACAGCAGCGTAGCATGACGCATGTGTAGAAGCGCAAGAGTACCCACAGCGTAGCATGACACATGTGTGGAAGTGCAAGAGTACCTACAGCGTAGCATGAGGTATGTGTGGAAGTGCAAGAGTACCTACAGCGTAGCATGAGGTATGTGTGGAAGTGCAAAAGAATCTACAGCAGCGTAGTAGCATTACACATGTGTGGAAGTGCAAGAGAATCTACAGCAGCGTAGCATGACACATGTATGGTGCAAGACTACCTACAGCGTAGCATGAGGTATGTGTGGAAGCGCAAGAGAATCTACAGCAGCGTAGCATGACACATGTATGGAAGTGCAAGACTACCTACAGCGTAGCATGACGTGTGGAAGTGGAAAAGAACCTACAGCGTAGCATGACGCATGTGTAGATGTGCAAGAGAACCTACAGCGTAGCATGACGTATGTGTGGAAGCGCAAGAGAGCCTACAGCAGCGTAACATGACACCTGTGTGGAAGTGCAAGAGTACCTATAGCGTAGCATGAGGTATGTGCGGAAGTGCAAGATCTACAGCAGCGTAGTAGCATGACACATGCGCGGAAGTGCAAGAGGACCTACAGCGTAACATGACACATGTGTGGAAGTGCAAGAGCACCTACAGCGTAGCATGAGGTATGTGTGGAAGTGCAAGAGAATCTACAGCAGCGTAGCATGACACATGTATGGAAGTGCAAGAGTACCTACAGCGTAGCATGACGTATGTGTGGAAGTGCAAGAGAATCTACAGCGTAGCATGACGTATGTGTGGACGTGGAAAAGAACCTACAGCGTAGCATGGCGCATGTGTAGAAGTGCAAAAGTACCTACAGCGTAGCATGACGCATGTGTGGAAGCGCAAAAGAACCTACAGCGTAGCATGACGCGTGCGTGTGGAAGTGCCAAAGAGTTTACAGAAGCGTAGCAGACGTAAGTGTGGATGTGAATGAAATGCAAGAGAGCGTACAGATATGTTGCATCACATATGTGTGGAAGTGTATATGACGTTATTATACCACCCCACCCCCTGCACCCCACCCCACCCCCACACACAATGTTATTTTCATAGTAGAAGGCAAAATATGACAACAGTCGCGAGCCTCTCAGATGCCAGGCACCTTAAACAAGTGGCAAGAAACGATCAGAATGTCATATCACAGAAAACTTGTAAATATCATCAATAGAAATTAAAAGGGCAGATAGTCACGGTAGTTGACACCTGCTTGTGACTGTTGGATGCTCAAACTGCTTGGGCCCTGAAAACCTAAAAAGAATTTTGGCACTGTGTGCCCTGCAGAGCCAATGAAACATCTGAATAATTATTATCTCTCATCGACATCACCATCATCACCACCACCACCATCATCATCACTACCAGTAGCATTACCGTGGAAATTCAGCTGAAAGTGAAGATCTCGGAGGTGCATTCACTTGCGTTCTTTTTTTGGGGGGTAAAATAGCTATTGGCAGCAAAAATGAACGTTAATTCCTTGCAAACATGATTTAGAACAGTGACACCTGGTTATACGTGTTCCATGTCAAAATCCACCACAACCATAAGGTTGAGCGCATGAGAGAAGTAACATCAAGAGCGTGTTGCGTGGTTGCTTGAGAACATCGAGGGCGTAGCATCAAGAGCGTGTGCCATGCTGCTTGAGATAGTTAAGCGCGTAGCACCAAGAGCCTGCAAGTTGCTTGAGAAATTTAGGATTGAGGGCCCGAAAGGGTTAGCACCAAGAGCGTGTTGTAAGTTGCAGGAGAAAGTTGAAAGTGTGGGATCAAGAGTGTGTTGCCAGTCGCCTGAGAAGTTCAAAGAGTAGCAGGAAGAGTGCGTTGCAAGTTGCTTGAAAAGGTTCAGCGCATAGCATCAAGAGCATGTTGCAAAGCTGCCTGGGAAAGAAAAGAGCATAGCACCAGGCACCATGCAGGAGCGTGTCGCAAGTTGTTCGAAAAAGTTAAGAAGCTCAAAACAATTACAGTAATTCCATCAAAAACACAGGAAACAGGTGGCCGGCTGGCCGGGTGGCCGGATGTGGCCGGCCGTGTGGCCGTGTGGCCGTGTGGCCGTGTGGCCGTGTGGCCGTGGCCGTGGCCGCGTGGCCGGGTGGCCGGGTGGCCGGTGTGGCCGGGTGGCCGGGTGGCCGGGTGGCCGGGTGGCCGGGTGGCCGGGTGGCCGGGTGGCCGGGTGGCCGGGTGGCCGGGTGGCCGGGTGGCCGGGTGGCTGTGGCCGGGCCGTGGCCGTGGCCGGGATGGCCGGCAACTAAAAAAAGCTATTGTGGCGATTTGGTGGTTTATGTCGGCCTCCATAGAGGTCTCAGGGAGGAAAAAAATACCCCCAACACAAAACTGTACCATGTTTGACACGGTTTTGAAATGTTTTTGAATGGTTTTGCTATGTTTTGATACCCCTGGCCCCTGGCACTGCTGAACCCATCTGAACCCTCCCCACAACAAAACCATACAAAACCAACTGATGAGAAACATGAGAAGTTCTCATAATTTTAGTCACCCAGCATGGTTTCCATCATTTCCCATGATGTTTTCAAACAGGTCTGGTCCAAACCTCTTCTATTTTAGTACTGGACCACCCCTGGTTTAATTCTTTGGTGCCATGTTTGACATGGTTTTGAATGGTTTTGCTATGTTTTGATACCCCTGGCCCCTGGCACTGCTGAACCCATCTGAACCCTCCCGACAACAAAATCATTCAAAACCAGCTGATGAACCTTACCCACCCATCATGGTTTACCATCATTTTCATTCATTTTCTATCATGTTTTCAAACAGGTCTGGTCCAAACCTCTTCTATTTTAGTACTGGACCACCCCTGGTTTAATTCTTTGGTGCCATGTTTGACATGGTTTTGAATGGTTTTGCTATGTTTTGATACCCCTGGTCCCTGGCACTGCTGAACCCTCAAACAAAGCCATACAAAACCAGCTGACTCAGTATGACAAGGCACGAGGTGGGACACCATTGCTCTCATTGCCAATCGGCTGCCCTGCAGCTGGAGTGTCACCTAGGCTGGGAGCAGAGGAAAAGAATGAGAAACATGAGAAGTTCAAAGAATTTTAGCCAACCATCATGGTTTCCATCATTTTTCATCATGTTTTCAAACAGGTCTGTCCAAAACTCTTCTATTTTAGTACTGGACCACCCCTGGTTTAATCTTTGGTGCCATGTTTGACATGGTGTTGAATGTTTTGCTATGTTTTGATACCACTGGCCCTGGCACTGCTGAACCCATCTGAACCCTCCCCACAACAAAACCATACAAAACCAACCGATGAGAAACATGAGAAGTTCAAAGAATTTTAGCCACCCATCATGGTTTTCCATCATTTCCCATCATGTTTTCAAACAGGTCTTGTCCAAACCTCTTCTATTTTAGTACTGGACCACCCCTGGTTTAATTCTTTGGTGCCATGTTTGACATGGTTTTGAATGGTTTTGCTATGTTTTGATACCACTGGCCCCTGGCACTGCTGAACCCATCTGAACCCTCCCCACAACAAAACTATACAAAACCAACCGATGAGAAACATGAGAAGTTCAAAGAATTTTAGCCACCCATCATGGTTTCCATCATTTCCCATCATGTTTTCAAACAGGTCTTGTCCAAACCTCTTCTATTTTAGTACTGGACCACCCCTGGTTTAATTCTTTGGTGCCATGTTTGACATGGTTTTGAAATGTTTTGAATGGTTTTTGCTATGTTTTGATACCCCTGGCCTCTGGCACTGCTGAACCCTCTCTACAAACAAGCCTTACAAAACCAGCTGACTCAGTATGACAAGGCACGAGGTGGGACACCATTGCTCTCATTGCCAATCGGCTGCCCTGCAGCTGGAGTGTCACCTAGGCTGGGAGCAGAGGAAAAGAATGAGAAACATGAGAAGTTCAAAGAATTTTAGCCAGCCATCATGGTTTTCCATCATTTCCCAACATGTTTTCAAACAGGTCTTGTCCAAACCTCTTCTATTTTAGTACTGGACCACCCCTGGTTTAATTCTTTGGTGCCATGTTTGACATGGTGTTGAATGGTTTTGCTATGTTTTGATACCACTGGCCCCTGGCACTGCTGAACCCATCTGAACCCTCCCCACAACAAAACTATACAAAACCAACCGATGAGAAACATGAGAAGTTCAAAGAATTTTAGCCACCCATCATGGTTTCCATCATTTCCCATCATGTTTTCAAACAGGTCTTGTCCAAACCTCTTCTATTTTAGTACTGGACCACCCCTGGTTTAATTCTTTGGTGCCATGTTTGACATGGTTTTGAAATGTTTTGAATGGTTTTTGCTATGTTTTGATACCCCTGGCCTCTGGCACTGCTGAACCCTCTCTACAACAAAGCCATACAAAACCAGCTGACTCAGTATGACAAGGCACGAGGTGGGACACTATTGCTCTCATTGCCAATCGGTTGCCCTGCAGCTGGAGTGACACCTAGGCTGGGAGCAGGGGAAAAGAATGAGAAACATGAGAAGTTCAAAGAATTTTAGCCACCCATCATGGTTTTCCATCATTTCCCATCATGTTTTCAAACAGGTCTTGTCCAAACCTCTTCTATTTTAGTACTGGACCACCCCCGGTTTAATTCTTTGGTGCCATGTTTGACATGGTTTTGAATGGTTTTGCTATGTTTTGATACCCCTGGCCCCTGGCACTGCTGAACCCATCTGAACCCTCCCCACAACAAAACCATTCAAAACCAGCTGATGAACCTTACCCACCCATCATGGTTTCCCATCATTTTCTAATATAATGTTTTCAAACAGGTCTTGCCCAAACCTCTTCTATTTTAGTGCTGGACCACCCCTGGTTTAATTCTTTGGTGCCATGTTTGATATGGTTTTGAAATGTTTTGAATGGTTTTGCTATGTTTTGATACCCCTGGCCTCTGGCACTGCTGAACCCTCTCTACAACAAAGCCATACAAAACCAGCTGACTCAGTATGACAAGGCACGAGGTGGGACACCATTGCTCTCATTGCCAATCGGTTGCCCTGCAACTGGAGTGTCACCTAGGCTGGGAGCAGGGGAAAAGAATGAGAAACATGAGAAGTTCAAAGAATTCTAGCCACCCATCATGGTTTTCCATCATTTTCCATCATGTTTTCAAACAGGTCTTGTCCAAACCTCTTCTATTTTAGTACTGGACCACCCCTGGTTTAATTCTCGAGGGGTCGCCAAAAAAAACCTCCAACACAAAACGTTTCCGTTGGGGTTTTTTTCTCAGCCTGTTTTGTGGCTATGTAAGTCCAATGTTGGGCAACTTAGGGTCTCACATGGGCTGATGTCAGGGAACTTTGGGTCTAACTTGGGCCTATATGAGGGGACTTGGGCTCCAACTTGGGCCCATGTTGGTTTATGTGGGGCTCCCTGGAACTCGAGGGGTCGCAAAAAAAACATCCAACACAAAACTTTTCCGTTGGGGGTTTTTTCTCAGCCTGTTTTGTGGCTATATAAGTCCAATGTTGGGCAACTTAGGGTCTCACATGGGCTGATGTCAGGGAACTTTGGGTCTAACTTGGGCCTATATGAGGGGACTTGGGGTCCAACTTGGGCCCATGTTGGGCGATTTGGTGGTTTATGTCGGCCTCCATAGAGGTCTCAGGGAGGAAAAAAATACCCCCAACACAAAACTGTACCATGTTTGACACGGTTTTGGAATGTTTTTGAATGGTTTTGCTATGTTTTGATACCCCTGGCCCCTGGCACTGCTGAACCCATCTGAACCCTCCCCACAACAAAACCATACAAAACCAACTGATGAGAAACATGAGAAGTTCTCATAATTTTAGTCACCCAGCATGGTTTCCATCATTTCCCATGATGTTTTCAAACAGGTCTGGTCCAAACCTCTTCTATTTTAGTACTGGACCACCCCTGGTTTAATTCTTTGGTGCCATGTTTGACATGGTTTTGAATGGTTTTGCTATGTTTTGATACCCCTGGCCCCTGGCACTGCTGAACCCATCTGAACCCTCCCGACAACAAAATCATTCAAAACCAGCTGATGAACCTTACCCACCCATCATGGTTTACCATCATTTTCATTCATTTTCTATCATGTTTTCAAACAGCTCTTGCCCAAACCTCTTCTATTTTAGTACTGGACCACCCCTGGTTTAATTCTTTGGTGCCATGTTTGACATGGTTTTGATATCCATGGCCCCTGGCACTGCTGAACCCTCTCCACGACCACCCAGCTGACTCACCTAGGCTGTTTTTTCAAGCGCAAATCGATGCGCGTCATTTGAAACATTTGCTACACATCTTGACTTTTTCTGGGCACTTCATTCCACAGCAGGCTGGATCCTTGTGCACGCAGTGCCCCGTGGAAGACAGGTAGGCAAACTCAAGGGAGGATGATCTTGCACCATCTGGACCCTGGAATTGACCATGTTTTCCGTGCGTGCTTCTCTCCGACTCTGCATTGCTGGTTCTCAAATTGATCCCGGCATTTGTCAAGCTCTTGCTTGGCCACTTTGATGCTTTGGCTGAACATCGTGACCAACAGCATTGCAAACAAATAGTGCAAAGCGATCCCAAAATCATTGGCAGAAGGTAAATAACAATCAAAGGCGCGAAATCGTCTGAAACCATTGCAAAATCTGAAGCAATGAGATGGGGCACTGTGCTTTGGGGCTTGAAAGTCAAGAAGGCTGCTGGAGCGATGCAATATGCGTGATTTTTCAAGACCAGTACTATTCCAGAACTGGACCACCCATTGTTTAAATTGTGTGGTGCGCTGTTTGGCTCAAACATTTAATGGCAAGGCACGAGGGTCGATAGCAGCGCTCTCATTCCCATCAGCCAGGTTTGCATGTGGAATACCGCCTGGGCCGGGGGCAGGGAAACAAGATCTAAAAGATGGAAAATATATGAACATATCATAAAATATCCATGTTTAACGGTGTTTTAATGATTTAGTTTCAGTTATATTCACTCACCTATGGTGGTTCCTATTGTGTTTTCAAACAGGTCTTGTCCAAACAACTTCTAGTTTAGTACTGGACCACCCCTGGTTTAATTAGTTGGCGCAATTTTTGGCTGAAACTAGTTCACAACAAATCCACTTGGACCAGAACAATCCAGAACTGTCAAAACATGTCAAAACATATCAGACTCTAGCCAAAGACCAAGGAATTCATTGGAATTCCATATGGCAAGGCACAAGCTTGGACAGCATCGCTCTCATCCCCAGCGTGCTGCTCTGCTCTTGGATTTTCACCTAGGATGGGCTCAGGTAAGAAAAGATTGGAAACCAAGCCTATCCCAGTACTGGGCCACCCCTGGTTTGATTTATTGATACAGAGTAGTACAGCAAGGAAATTCATGGAAATTCCTTCCAGGATCAATCTCTATCGAACTGTGACAAAATGCTATAAAATGACAAAAATGTTTCCATTCCAACCGATCTGAACTTCCATGAAATTCATCCTTGGTACATACATCGCCATTCTGCGCTCCTTTTCCCCAACTGGTTTTGCGTGTGCAACAACCCCACCAGAAGGCCACTGGAGTCAATCTTGTGCAGCTTCTTTCAGCTGCAGCACGGCCTAAACTGAAAAGACCATAAAAGTTCTGGGCTGAGCCTAGCAGAAAGGCAGAAGCTTCTAAAGCAATGTGCACGTGGGCACCTTCAAAGTCAAAGGCCGGGCAAGCCGCTAATACATATGTTTAGCGAAACACCCATGCTTTGAACCATGCCTCAAACACAGCTGATGCAAATGAAGCTGTGTAGCTGGCACTCAAGCCTAAGTCTTTGCCACCAGACACACTCTTGCCTTTCCTCAGTTGCTTACGGAAGAGGCAAAATGATGATGCAAAACACCTAGAACAACAACCAACCACTGTTGGATATACATTCTGAACACAATCGGAATATAGAACTGTACCGTTCAAGAACATCAAACAACCCATATATTTTCATTGTCAGCAGCACAGGGCCAAACGAACAAACAACACAACCAACTAGCAATTTTCCATAATTTTCCGGTTGGTC